GTGGTGGGACATTACAGGGGCCTGGGTATAAACTAATGACTGTAAACTTCAGTGAACTGAAGCAACGTTGCAAAGAAGAATTCCTCCAAAACAATGTGAAAAGACTGAGACAAAATCATATCATTTTTCTTATGGAAAATGATTCCTTCAAGTTACTGCTGCTACAATATGATGATTCTACAAATGAATCATGACGTGACCTTAGTTTTTCACAGGTCGCATGAAGTTCCTGTGAAAACTTTCTAGACTGTATGTCTATACAACTGAATCGCCATCATAAATAAATGTGTAAACAGTATGTGAAAATCTTTTTTTTTTTTTCTTATGTTGCATTATTCAAATCATTGTCGTCGTGTCCCCCCCCCTCCCCCCTCTGTTACATAGATCTTCAGTTATCTTATCTGTCAGTGGTAAAATAAAGAGCACTGAAATTCACTCTGTTTAAAACCCCAGAGAAGTTATGCTTAAATACAAAAAGCTTAGGGCCTACACATTTAGTCTCTCAGATATTTCTGGCCTATGACTGTAAAATGATCACACCCTCTGAAATTGCAGAAATGTCCCATTCTCATATACATGTGCATTAAAACCAATAATGGGCATATAAAATGAACTTAAAAGGCTTAACTTATGCTGATTAATTAACTCCTTTTATTTGAACATAATACATGTCATCAAAAAGCCTTGCTAATTTGTTAGGCAGGACTCATGAGTCTAAAATACAAAGAATGGATTCCATGTGCAGGCGGGATAAGAGTACAGTGGCTCACAGCACACCTGGAGTGTGTTTTCACCACTCACACCAGATCCCTTCTTCAGCCTTCACTCAGGCATGACAGACACAATAACACAGATGAGAGCAGATGTTGTGCTCTTGTTGTGAAGAGTTGCGTTTGATTTGTATCTGACAACACTGTTGATAATATCACTGCACCAATCACACCAAGGGAAAACATCATATGACGCACCTGTTCAGAAAAGTCTACAGTAAAGACGCACTGCTACTATATACATAATCCATGCATCTACAGCATAAGATGTTTCACATCTTTCCAGGAAAATAAAATGATGCCAGTGAGAGTAAAACATGAGATAACGCTTGACCTGCATCCACTTCCAACCCTGTAGCACTGTTACATAGTTACAAGAATTACACAGGTAGTAAAGTCTCCCTTCTTCACTGCAAGCTGTCGTATCCATATGATGTAACAGGAACAGATTAACACTCTTACTTTAGATTAGACATCAGCTCTTGTCTGCAGGCCATGTGCCCAGTTGCTCATTGACTACACTGGGACCTCCCTAATTATAGTCAACCTGTCTCAGTCCTGCTCAGATCAAATCAATGACACCAGTGTGTCCTCTTACCTTCTCACACAGTTTTCATTTTTATGTGAAAGTGAGATCTTTTAAAAAAGTAAGAGTAAAATGAATCGCTGCATCATCGAGGCTCATTTTTACTAAATATTCCAAAATATAGTCACGTGTCAGCATTTATAATTAGGCTGTTCAACTAGTACACTGTTATCCCTCTGTCACTCACAGCTAGAGAACAGAGTTCGCAAGAAAAAGTAATGCCAAGTACCATCTACATTACCTGTTACACCAAAACAAAGTGTGAGAAAGTACTATAACACATGCGCCGCTCGCTGTCACCTATTGTATATTATACGACTTTTAAACCACGTAAAATATAAAATATCCTGGATTTCCTAAACTCGGCGTCACATCACAAATAACAAAAAAGAGAAAGCTGCACTTTCTAAGGACAGCAGCCTTGCTTCTCCGTCCTGCTGTTTAAGAGACTACCTATTAGCTTGGTGCTACTGCAAATCTACTGCTAACATGCTACAATTGCATTGTTACACCCAAGTTAAACATTGTTGTCCTACAGAAAAAACATTCAACAATAACCTCAACTGATTTATTCTACAAGCCTTCTTCCGTTTCCCAGAAAGCAAAAGCTAGGCTAGAAGCTAACGGCTAAAAACTGAGCTAGGTCAATAACCTTAAACCTATCTAAATGATGTCAGGCTAACGGTAAATAATATTTACACTCGCAGTGTGCGTACAGTCTATGTAACATACTCAAATACACTGACATTAGGGATAGGTGCAGTGCAAAAAAACAGCTAGCCGGCTATTATGCCAGAAAGTAGACGGAGCTAGGTCATTAGCACAAGCCAGTTCAGAGAACCCCGGCTATCCTCCACACAGACACACATATACACACACACTTCATCCCCAACTTACCACGAGAGAAGTTTCCCGTTTGGCTTTTACAGTAACCACAGCGGTAGCCATCTTCGCCACCGAAATATTCTACTATAGTATAAGACTTATTTCCTGCCATCTTTAAGATCTAGCACAGCTGACAGCTGAGACAGGTGACCGGGCAAGCCTTGCTCGACATGTAACCCCGCCCACAGCAAATACGTCATCAGTTGTGCTTAAAACAAAGGGAGTTCTGATAAAAGTGTTTACACTCTCAAATAATGAAACAGCTAAACATAATGCATTGCAGTGCATTCTGTAGAAATGACTTTATAACTTCATATTTAAGAAGACAGAGGCAGGGGAGAGGATGAAGGCATGTTCAGAGGCCTGAACATGTTCTGAATGTACGGTTTGGAGACAGTGGCACTGGCATAAAGACAAGGGGTGAAGCTGGAGGTGGCAGATGAAAATGCTCACTTTCACTGACAAAGATATACAGATTTATAATCCTGTCTATCAGTGACAGCTCAGGTTGAGAACTTTAGAGATAAAGTTTGGAGAAGAAGGTTAAGATGGTTTGAACATGTGCAGAGGAGGGGTAGTGGACATACTGGACAAAAGATGCTGAAGATGCAGCAGCCAGGTAAGAGGGAATGAGGAAGCCCACAGACTAGGTTTATGGATGTAGTGAAGCAAGACTTGCAGAGAGTTGGTGTGACAGAAAAGGATGCACGGGAGAGGATGAGAGGGAGGCAGATGATCAGTTGTGGTGAGTCCTAACATTAGTAATCAAAAGATTATTATTTAAAAACTCAGTTCTATCAATTAAATAAAGTAATAACTGAAATCAGGCTATATACCAACAGCTGCTTTCCCACTCTTGAATAAAAAAATAGTATGGATTAAGTAAACTAAAACAAAAAATTACAAAAATAAAGACCTTCATTGGGGGGAAATAGACAGATTTTTCACCAAAAGCTTTGTGACACATAAAATTCCACAAGTTATAATTAAAGAACTGTACACCATATTTATTAAATTATCTGTGCAAAGAGGAAAGACAGCAAAGTAAATCCAAAACAAGATCCTGCATAAACAAGATCAAGGGAGAGTTTGCGTGTAGAAAAATAACTTAGAAAATCACAGCTGGAACAATGATTTAGTTTGATGCAATTACAAAAATGGCGTTGAAGTGAAAAGCGCTTTGTCCAGTCCTAAGTTCTGTTTTACTTTTACAGTTTTCTCTCATTTAGCCATCAGTCAATTTTCTTGGGTTTCACATGGATTCATAGGTTCACAAAACCAGGATATTGGTTGTCTGATAAAAGTTGCCCCCCATTCTTCCAACCACCCAACAAAACAGACCTAAACAGGATTGTGAAAGCAGCTTGTGAGTTGAAACGCTACAGACAAACCTCTAAATAAACACGTTACTTTATGTTGTTCAGTGGTTTCTAATTGAAACTCCCCTGGGGCACAGGGATGTTTTCATGAAGGTATTTCATGCTGCCTTGCTCCGAGAAGTCAGCCACTGTGTGTCCCTCCCCTCGAAGGACCCACTTGGTGGTCAAAAGTCCCTCCAAACCTACAGGTCCTCTGGCATGTATCCGTGCTGTACTGATACCAACCTCAGCTCCTGCAAAATAAACAAAGTAAAATTAAATACCTTGTTTTATTTTCAACATAGTGGTAGTTTAGGTTCACTTGAAGGTAAATACATACCAAGGCCAAAGCGGTAGCCATCAGCAAAGCGAGAGCTGGCGTTCCAGAATACACAGGCGCTGTCCACCTGTTGCAGAAACTGCTCGGCTGTTTCTTCATTCTCAGTAACAATGACATCAGTGTGGGAGCTGCCGTATTTGTGGATGTGGTCCACAGCTTCCTGCATGCTGTCAACCACCTCAATGCAGCATTCCAGGTCCCCATACTCTGTCCTCAGAGACTTGACCTCAGATGGGCTAAAAGTTAAATAGGATGCGAAGCGAGGACCAGCATGAATCTTTACCTGTAAGAAAGCAATAACCAATAGTTTGTTAAAGAATAAAAAACAAACAAATGTAATTTACTGTATTTATGGACGTGGGTAAAGTGTTAAATTCTCTTGCTGTTTTTCCTATTTCTGAATCTCATTCAAAGCATACATCCAAATAATCCTGTTTCTTACTTGCTCTGTTCTCAGCATGTCAATGATCTGGTCAAACACAGGAGTACGCAGCAAATCTCTGTGAATAAGAAGAGTCTCCATGGCATTGCAGGCAGCAGGGTAGTCACATTTAGAGTCTTTCACTGGAAAGAAACACAGTTTGTACAATAATTCAAAACCAGTCAGTTTGCATTAGTGATAAATAATAGACTGGAGCTGAATGCAATTAAAAACCTACCAACATCAAGAGCTTTGTCAATGCTGGCATCACTGTCGATGTAGACGTGACAGATGCCCTCACTGTGGCCCAAAACAGGAATGCCCTTGGCTGCCCTCTGGATTTCCCGGACCAGCTGAGACGAGCCCCTTGGAATGATCAGGTCAATCATCTTGTCCAGTCTGCACAGATCCTCAACTTCCTCACGTGTGCTCACCTACAGCACAAATTCTTTTAGTGTATCACAACAAATAAAATACTACCAGGAAACTAAAATTATATTTCTATAATGATTTTTAGTCTTACCAGTTGAATGGCATCTGCTACACCATGAATGGAAAGGGCCTCTTGAGTGAGTTGATGTAGAATTTTGTTGGTGTTGGAAGCTTCTTTGCCACCTTTCAGGAGCAAAGCATTTCCGCTTGCAATTGCTAGTGCTGACACCTGAAGTATAGCATTTAAAATGTCACTCTTTTTGAACACATATAAAACCAAAGACTCTAAAAAAGTATTCCAGACTGCCCAGAGATGGTCTGACCTGTGGCAGACAATCAGGGCGAGACTCAAAGATGACCAGCAGGACACCGATGGGGACTGTGATCTGTTCTAGTTCTAGGTTGTTGGCCACTCTAGTCCTCCTCAGCACCCGGCCGACGCTGTTCCTGGAGGAAACGGCGAGCTGACGCAGGCCAATGGCAAGACTGTTCAGCTTGGCTGTTGACAGACTCAGGCGATTGATCAGAGGCTGGGACAGACGACCTATAAGAGTAAAGTATGAATATAAATGCTGGCGCATCAATCAATAAAGAGAAACGTGTTGCCAAGCAGGAATAACTGCTCTGCTACGCGATGCCACAACCCAATGACTCCTACCAAAATAGACTACAGTGGTATCTGAGTCACAGATCTACATTCAGGTATGGATTACGCTAATCCATGTGCCAGCTCTCTGCCTCTGTACCTAATGTTGTTGCTAGCTCCATGTCTTTCCTGTTTGCATTAAGAATTTCTTCTTTCTTCTCTGTAAGGAGCTCAGCAAGACAGCAGATGATCTCCCCTCTCTGAAAAAACAAACACATAGATGTGATCAACACAATTCAAAATTAATTGACACTGCTGTCACTAAGATGTAGAACTTATTTAATTTGGTGACCCTGTGCAACTAATTAGGATTTTTTTTTTTCCCCCTTTACCTGTTCAGGGAGCAGAGAGGCCAGGGTTCTGCCTGCATGTCGTGCCATCTCTGTCTGCTGCTCCACAGTTGGGCCTGGTGGTGTCAATAACACCAACATCAAGCATAAATCCTCAAACCACAACAAAAAGATTCAAATGCTCTGTCTGAGTGGTTTTACCCAGTACCTGCAGGTTTCACTTCAGAGAAAAAGGTGCCAACTTTCTTCCCTTCCACAATGTCTGTGATGACGTGACCGGTGACTTTTGGGTCTGTGCCATTGGCAATGATTACTGAGGTGCCACCCTGCAGTGCCCAGAGGGCTGCTTTCACCTGAGCCACACAACATGATTTAGTGTAATGCAACATTTTCATTACTGAACCAACTCTGCCTCTACATATAGTGAGATGAACTATTATCTGTCACACTGACCTTTGCTTCCATGCCGCCGATACCAACTCTGGATTTAGTCCCATATGTGATAGATTGTTGGTCTCCGGGATAGAATATATCAATGAGCTTGGCATCATCTGTTCCTGGCGGACTATCGTATAAGCCTGAGGAAAAAATAAGAAAAATAAATCACACATATATAGATATCTTCTGATTTAACAAAAACGCAACCTGCCTGTTTGTATAAAGTCTTCTATTAATGTCTGACTACCTGGCAATCATTAATGAATAAAAGCAACGCATGAATGGCATATATGGCAGTTGCTATAATAGTATGCATAATAATAATAATAATAATAATAATACAAAAGATTAGAATTACCAATATAAATCATTTTCACTTGTACAAATACAAAGAAATTGTTGGTTAATTTGGTCATTTGTTTTTATTTCATGCATCTTTCATATAGTTTTAGGTAACTGGTTCACATTTATTATACATACAAACATAAACATAATCTACACATTTAAACAAATTACATACTGGCCATTACTGTGATTCTTAAATGCAAATTAAAGAAAATATTATTTAAATAGTCATATCTGTACCTTGGACATCAGACAGGGCAATAAGTAGGTCTACTTTCATTTCAACAGCCAGCCGTGCAGCCAAGCTGTCGTTATCTTTGATGCTTATTACCTGAAACACAAACCAATTTTTCATTAAGCAAAAAACACCGTGCAGGTCAGTAACAACTTCAGTTTCTACTACATTTCAAAAGCTTCCCTCTCTCACTCAGGTGCAAAGGAAACATTGCATGCAAAAACAGGTGTACCCACATTTACACCCTGTAGGTCACTGTTGGGAACGGGGGGTGGAACAACAGCATCGTTCGTGTTAATTATCGGGACGATATTCATACGCAGCAGTTCATGTAGCGTGCTGTTCAGGTTCCGGCGCTTCTGTTCATCGTGAAAGTCCAGATTGGTGACCAGAATCTAAGGAGGTGGAAAGAAATGTGAAGAAGTATGTGACATTTTAGTCAGATGCTGTAGGTATTTTATTCTATGCAAAACGTGAAACACATACTTGTGCAGTGCAGATGCTGTATTGGGTGAACATAGCTTCGTACAGCGCCATCAGACCGCTCTGCCCAGCAGCAGCACAGGCTCTTGCTTCCAAAACTGGGACTGTCTGAAAGACAGTGAGATTTAAACAAAGTTAACAAGATTTGGAAAGAAAGAAATCAGCACACTGTTATACAGTCAAAATTTACAAAATAGTGGGTCCAAGTTCCTTCTGTTAAAGCTTATTCACCATGTCTTTCAGTTGGTTCTGTCCAGAATGCAGAGCTTGTCTGACACTCTGAGACAGCAGTATCTCATGTCTCAGTCGCTGCTTCCCAAATGCCACAGCACCACTCGTAACAATCATCATCTCCCTGCCTTGATTCTGTAGCATGGCCACCTGATGGAACAGAAACAATAACATTTAAGATCTCTTTTCATAGGAACAGTCATTCCTCTATAAAAGACACTTTGTATCAACATTATTACCTGCTCTACTATTGAAGCCAGTCGTCCCAGTGCCAGACCACATTCATCTCCACGCGTCACCACAGCGCTCCCAAGCTTCACTACAACGCGTTTGGCTTGCTTCAGCTCACTGCGGTGTGCAAAGGACTTCCCATGGGATCGAGGGAGAACGACTGCGGGGAATAAAGAAAACAGTCACATTTTAACAAGCATAGGCAGCCGAGGAAGAACCAACACATATCAAAGTGATCCTGAGATTTGTGTACAAGCCTAGTATGATGAAGCACTTGGCTGATCACTTACATTTAGCCTGGGAAAAGGCTCTGATGTAGACTGGGCACACATTTGATTGCCGTGTTCTGAATGGCAGAGGAGAGCAGGAAGCCAACCTGGCAAACATGGCACTGAAAGTTCAGGACCACTGTGATGAGCACAGAAAGCAATGCATGGTTAGTCTAACAATGGAATAGCATCAAATTAAATAAGCAGCTTCTGGGTAAAACAAACAGACTTGACGCCAACGTTTTAAATAGATATATGGAGTTTTGCTGTCGCTTGAAAGCTCTGCATCATGTGTCTTCTTCTTATCAGTGTTATGCGATATTTGGACTTGACACACTGACCCATTAAAGATTGTTTTGCACTAAGTTAGCTTAGAAAAATACCAGCAATAATAGGCAGGGCAATAGACTGGGCGCTTTTCACTTGTATAACCTGTAATACATATGAACGAACTGCAGTTTGCATGGTAGTTTATCAGACTATAGCAGCTACGTGTCGAGTACTTCTGTCAAAACATACCTAGGTTAGCTAATGTTAGCTAGCTTTAGCTGTTGTGAGCTGCCTAACTTGCCTCGGTTTTCGACAGAACAGGCGGAAGAGGTTTTTTATAAAAGACTCCTTACCCAGCGAGATGGAGACCTGGAAAGCCAACCACAGCTACACTTGTAAGTGAACGGCGAAATGAAGACACGTATTCAGTGAGAATCGCAGCGCTTCACTGCCACATCCACAGCCCACGTTGTGTGGGAAGTGCCGTAATGCTATTCACGAACGACGTGTACATAAAATATCGGGAAACTTCAATGACATAAGACGTTGGTTTACGCAAGAAAGTTTTAACGTACGCCTGAATTTTATTTTATTTTTTGTGAGTGAGCACGGGTTGCACAAGTACAGAGACGTCGAGTGACACTTAACGCTGAAACGAAGATTAGGTTGTGTAAAGAGTGCAGAACAGTTTTATCAGCATATATATATATATTTAAATGCACCATCTATATCACAGAGAATGCAGGCTTTTGCGATATATATTATGATATTATTGTTATTTATAATTACAAGTAATAGGCATATATTAAAAAGTAATGTCGTTTCTTCTAGGGACAATATAACATCACAATAACATATTTTTTTAAAGGGAAATTTTGTACTGTAATTCTGACAACAACAAGCGCGACTGTAAACAACGAATATCGCTTTTTTCAAGTTTTCGAAATTATATCTTCACAAAATAAAACAAGCTTCACTTAAGTACTCACGTGACTTCCGGGCGACTTCCCAGCTCTTTTTACACCCGGAAGAGCAAGCGTCCTATGAGATCTCAAGTTGAGATTACTTTATCACACACCTGTGCTCAAACTAAAGAAATTTCACACTAAATTGATTCCATTTTCCTGTCATTTTTTTATTAAATGACCCTGCATTTTGGACTGTTGACTTGTAATTTAATCAATTTCTTTGAAACTGTGCCATTAATTTGTGTGTCAACCATTTGAACCTGCTAGTGAAGCAAAAAACCAAAACAAACAGTCTTCAGTAATGTGACACTAAAGCCACGTGAGTGGCGTTTGTGCATGCCAGGACAGACCTGTGAAACATTAATGAGCAGGACAGTCAGAAGCACAGTGCACACTGAGCCAACATAACAGCTGTACACAGAGCTATGGGGACCATGGAGGAAACTTTGAAGTGTCCTGTGTGCCAGGATTTCTTCATTGATCCTGTGACGCTGCAGTGCGGACATAACTTCTGCCTCACCTGTATACAGGCTGTCTGGGAAACCGATGTGTCTGATGAGGGGCCTTTCTTCTGCCCGGAGTGTCAGATATTTCTCCCCTCTGACCTCACTCTGAAGATAAATGCAGACCTTCAGACCAAAGTAAAGGACTTCACCACTAAGACGCTGTCAGCAGCAGAGCGACAAGCAGCAGGTTCAACTAGTGAAACTAAATCATCATCAACTATCTGCTGTGACCACTGCATAGAGATGCCATCAGTAGCCATAAGAACCTGCCTGACTTGCGATGCCTCACTGTGCCAGGCTCACGCCCTGCTCCACCAACAGAGGTCTGCTCTAAGGGAGCACACAGTGGTGGATGTGACCAGCGATCCACTGTCTCTGAAGTGCAGGGAGCACCGCGATGAGCTTAAGCTCTTCTGTATGGAGGAAAAGGTACCTGTTTGCTGTTTGTGTGTCCTGGTTGGCACGCACAAACATCACAAAGCCTCTCAACTGCATGAAGCCAAAGCAGACTTTAAGGTGATTATTCTAATCTCTTTTCATTATTTGTGAGGAATATTTATCTATTTTCTTCCTGTTGGTTTTTGTTTGTTTGTTTGCTTGCTTGCTTGTTTGTTTTTTTGTTTGTTTGTTTGTTTTACCAGAGGCATGTTGTATTTCTGTCTCTAGAGTATGCTTGAGACCACAATGAACCAGCTACTAAAGAGGAGAAGTGAAGCCGAACATGCCATCAAAGACCTGGAGTCACTGTATACACAAACAGTGGTACAACCAACACAGAAATCGCACTCTTAAATTGCTTAACTTTTTAAATTGATGGAAGCCATTCTTGTTTGTCTAACAATGCATTTATCTCATAGACCTCTGCTGCAGAGTGTAGAGAGAGAATCTCAGACAAGTACAGCAGAATCCACGTCGTGCTGAATGGCGATGAGCGTCTAATGATGCAGATTATAGACGCAGAGGAGACATGCATGACAGAGTGGCTGGAGGCCCAGAGGAGCATCGTAGAGGCTCAGATCAAAGAGATAGATGCATTCAGAGCCTCCAGCAAATCACTTCTCCAGGAAACCAATGATCTGCGGTTTCTGCAGGTAGGTTTACATGATCACTTACCGTGACCAGAAGTGTAGCACAAATATAGCTCAAATGTTTCCTGTTGTTTTCAAACAGCAAATCACATCACAGAATCTTTGGTGAGTATATTGCTGAGTCCAGTTTGTAACCTGAAATTGCCCATGCTTTACGCTGCTCCATATAATTATTCACTGAGCCTTCCTGTGGTATGATTTTTATTTTTATTTGCAGTGATCCCTTGGAATTTGCTCCAATCCGAGAAGTAAACAGAGACCTCTGTGACCCTGAGAAGCTGAGAACAGTAGAGAGGCTGGTGGATGAACTCTCGGTCGCTCTGTCCCAACATTTTCCACGAATGTGGTCATGTTAGTAAAGCTTTTTTCCTTTGACTTTTTTCCTTTCATTATCATTATAACTGTGTACTAAGTAAATATTTGTATTTGCAGACTTAAGTTCTCCTCTTCTAGACTTCAAAACAGCTCATCCAAAGCTGGAGTTATCCCAAGACAGAAAACAAGTGTACTGGAGACGCCAACCTTTCGGTGAAGGACAGAGCCCTCAGCCATATGACTCACAGTATAGCGTTCTTGCTCAGGAGAGTTTTGCAGGTGGCCAGCATTACTGGGAAGTCATTGTCCAAGACAAGCCCTTCTGGATGATAGGTGTGACCACGGGGTCAGTCGATAAAAAAGCCAGTTTAAGCCAGAGTTCTTCCAGTCTGGGTGTAAATAGCACATCTTGGTGCATCTACCATGGAGACGGACAGTACCTGGCGTGCCATGATACTCAGGAAAAGCAGCTGTCAGTTGGAAAGAGAGTCAGAAAGCTAGGCATACTGGCAAACCTCCAGAAGGGGGAGCTGTCATTCTATGATGCCGACGCTATGAGGCTGCTTCACTCCTTCTGTGTGCAGTGCACAGAACCTCTCTATCCCATTTTTAACCCATGCATTGATATGAACGGAGTCAACACACAGCCTCTTACCTTGTTTTGGATAAAGGACCCCTGGGATTGGCATACACGTGAGGAGAAAAGTGAACTCACAGGAACCATTTAACTGCCTCTGTGTTATGCAGAGTCACTGATCAAATAATTATTTTAAGTGTAATTTTCCATTTGTGCTCACATAAAATTACATTGTGGAAATGTCCAACGTGCTGTACAAATCTAGGCTGTCCAAAATATTGACTACCACCAAGTTTCTGTGAGTGGCTTTGACTCTGGTAAAGCTACAACGGCATTCAACGAATATACCTACCTCTAAAATCTTGCTAAAATGAGGTTATATAATAATATATGAGAAGACACATCTGTAGACATATCCGTACCGTGACTTTATAATGTCAAGACTAAAGTTATGTAATCTTTGCAGCACTGCCATTTCTGCAGTTGACATGTATGCTAAATATTTCATTAGGTGGTATCAGGTTCAAACAGTGCATTTGTTCTGTGGCAAAGTCGATCTCTTTCTGCAGCTTAGCAGCTCTCATGTGTGCCTTGATGCAGTTCATAAAGTAAATGACCCGTGTGTAAACTGCTCATCAGACCATGGAGGACATGCATGCCTTTAGTCTCACATGTCAATGGCCCTACAGAGTTGTTGCCCTGCAGCAGACAAATACACTGAGGTCAAATAACATGAACAGTAACGCTATATGTCTAGAAAAGATCAAGACACTTAACAATCTGATTTACACAATTCTTTGTGCATCACGCTTTTGCTCATTGTAAATAAATAAATACCTTTCTGCAGAAGAAGAAGAAGTCTGAAAGTTCACATTCAACACAATTAGAAAATATAACTCTCTCTTTTTTTGTAAACAGTAACATTATGCACCCATCACAGGGTTTTGAAAGTTCAGCCACCCTAGGGCTTGGTGAGGACATACAGGAACAACACAGCACATCAGAAAGAAGAAGCATTTATTTGCATCATGTAATAATTCTGCCACAACTTTAGGACATTTTCAGTTCAGTGATGCAACTTGCCTCATTTTCCAGAGGAAACATGGTATAGCTACTTATATTGTGAGATTTTCTTTTCCATTCTTTGTTTCACACATATACAGCCACTCAAACACACTGTGCTTAATTAAAAAAAGTAATTCAAGCCTTTGGGTTTTTTCCATGCATGCATCATTTATGTTATAACAGGAGATTTCAGATTTTTCCATCTTTTATGTGTAACTGATAAGACAATCCAGCTAATGTCCAGTACATTTATGAATAGTTTGAATAATCATATAATTTGATTACATTTTAGGAAAAGCGTACAGTGTGCAGTGGTTGGAGATCTGGCGGGCATATTAGTGAGAAACAAAGGTTGCTCAAGGAATTGCTCCTTCAGTATTTGCCTTGATCCAGTCCAGGAAATGAGTGACCCGTGTGTAGACCCCAGGCTTGTTCTTCTTCCCGCACTGGTCTCCCCAACTCACCACTCCATAAACAACATTAGCGTTGTTCTGCATACACGTCAGTGGTCCTCCAGAGTCCCCCTGAAACAAAATTGTACAGCTGACTATATGCTACTACTGGAACTAATGTAATAACTTTCTGTAGATGCGTTAGTAATATAGATGTTATAACAGCATCAAACCATCAAATGTCCTAACCTGGCAGGAATCCACCCCTCCCTCCAGGTAGCCAGCACAGAACATGGAATTGTCCAGGATGTTCCCATAAACAGAATGATCAGAGCACTTTCCCTGGTTGATCAGCAGGACATTGGCCTCCAGCAGGTGGCTGGAACCATAATCAGCTGCAAAGATAATGCAGAAATATATTAGGGGGTAACCCTTGTTTCTTTTTTTCATATTTCATGCCCACTTCCAGAACAAAATGAGTGAATGTTCATCAAAAGTTACTGAAGGTGATCTCTGCCTGTAAAGTTAGCTTCGGATACCACTGGAAAAACCCAGAACCTGTTGTAATGGTCGTCTGACCACATCTGCATTGATATATTGAGGTGTCAAAACTTGTCATTAAGAAGAGGTCATCAAATGTTGGAAAAGAGTTCAAGCTTCATTTAAAATAGAAAATGTCAAGTCAAGTGTTTATCAAATAAGCCAAATTATGTACATGAAAAATGGCAAGCTTTTTGTAACCTTACATACATTGCTCAGTAGCACCCCATCCAGAGATTTTGCACTCCGTCCCATCAGGCAGTGGCGCGTTTGGTAGACAGGCTGTTTTCACAAACTGGGTCTCATTGGCACAAAAACCAGGAGTCCCACTGAGCTTCAACAAGCCTTTAGGAATACATGTGAGATATAAATGTCACCACAAACTCAAAGAAAGAACATCTGAACAAAATGACAGAGACATTTGAGACAAGTATCACCTATATCATTGTAAACAGCTGTACTAGTCTCCCTGTAGTTTGGATTTTTAATAGTCCTTTCGACAGGTATGGTCTGAGTTCCAGGGTCTGGCTTACTCACTGAGAGACTTCCAGCCAGCACCTGCATGTCCTTGTTTGGTTCACTGTGCAAATAAAAAACAAAAGGGTTCAGTCGTATTACGTTGTTTTACTTGTAATCTGCCATTAATCTGGTTCTTCAACCTTGTAGCCTTACATGCAGTGTCCAGCTGTCAGCACCCAGCAACTTGCGATGAGAATTCCTCCACAGACGTGTCTGAATGGCTGAGCGGAGCCCGTTGGCTTCACTTGCACAGAAACCTGCCAGGGTATAGCTCCTGGACTGACTTTCAGACCCCCAAAGATTCGGGTAAGAGCCTTTTTTGGCTGAGGTATGCCACAGGTGGCAAACTGTTTTGGTCCAGTAGTCGGAGGGAGAGGTGTCGCAGAAGGGTGGATGGGCTTCCCAGTTGGTGGTATGGCAGTTGCTGGCAGATTACCAGTAGGCTCTGGTTGCGGTGGTTTAGGCTGTGTTGGTTCAGGCTGTGTCGGTTCAGGCTGTGTTGGTTCTGGCTGCGGTGGTTTAGGCTGTGTCGGTTCTGGCTGTGTCGGTTCTGGCTGCGGTGGTTTAGGCTGTGTCGGTTCTGGCTGCGGTGGTTTAGGCTGTGTAGGAGCAACCTCAGTCGGCGGCCCATCTGAAAACACAGATCCAAGAAGATGGCACAGATGTTTTGCTGAGAACACTCAAGATCAAAATGTTGCCCATCACTTTAAAACTCACGTGTCGATACAGGACATTTTGGCACATCACAGTAGTCCCACAGTAACCTGTAGCCTCTTCTGAAAAAGCACCAGGGCTTTGGCTCTCCGTCAGGGTTCCTGAATCATAAAACATGCCACTGAGACAGACCTCTTATAGGTGTTTTCTGCACATTGTCTAAATGGAGTTACTTCTGACCTGCAGAAGTTGTGAGGGCCAAGGCCGTCTTTGTCCTCAAAGGAGGTGAAGGGATTAACACCCAATGCCAGGATGAAGTGGGAGTTCCAGTAGAGGCACTCATAACCATCATCCGTCTCGCTCACATTGCCACGATATGACTCTCCATCGTCCACATAGCAGTCGTTTGGACCTGAGAAATGTAAATTACTCAGTGAGTAAATGAATTATGATGATAAATATATATGAAAAAAGACAGTAGAATGAATTATTTACCAACATGGCAGAAATTTCCTCCGAACCCTTCGGGGCATTGGCAGTCAAAGTCGTTTTCATCTCTGATGCATGTGCCACCATTTTTACATGGATTAGGATTACAAACTGAAACTTTGGAGAACAATAAAACAAAATTTAGGCTGTTGTTCAGTAACGGCTAAAATCCTCACCAAAGAGGAATTTGGGCTTTTTAAAAATATAAATATATATATATCAACATACTAGTTTTGCAGTCTGGAGGCTGAAAGGGTCGCTTGCATTTGCACTCATAGTGCGGAGGAGTTGAAGTCAGTACACATTCGCCATGCCCGCATTGACCTCTTTTACAATTTCTTGGACCTTAGAGAATAACACCATTAGGATATTTTTAGTAACATTAATTCAGTTTTTTTACACTTTGCATATATATATATGCAATTTGACAAAAGAATGGAGAGAAGGGAATTTTTTCTTCACACCTCTCTCGCATTTCTTTCCCTTGTAAGGTTTGGGACAGTCACATTTGAACTCTCTTTTGCCTTTCTCCTTACACACACCATTGTTAAGGCAAGGATTTGGGGTGCACTGGCCTGAGAAATAAAAAATGACAACACACCCTAATGTCAAAATGAAACCTTTCCTCTGTAGCATTAGAAGAAAACATGCCACAGATTTGCATGAGACATTTGTTAGTATCTTACCGGCTAGGCCCAGAATCTCAAAAAGCCAGTCTGAATGACCATTTTCATCATCCTCATCATCCTCATCCCCGACCTTAAAGAAGACATCTAGAACAATACTTTCCTTTAGATTTACAGTTTTAATTCTTTAAATACTAAATTTCAAACCATTTTCTATATATGTTACAAAAGCAACATAAAGGAGTACTAACCCTCAATTATATCTTTAAACCTTCCTTTCAGTCTCTTTTTCTCATGTTTCCCTTGTCTTTCAGGCTGTGCAGAGTCCCGCTGTCTGTCTTGTCTTCCAGGATTCGAAGAGTCCCGATGTTTGTCGTGTTTATGTTTCAACTACATTTTTTAAGGAATTGCAGATGACAGCATAACATAAGAGCACGTACACATCCAAATAAATCTCTATCACTCTATATATTCATGTCTATCTGTCTATCTAGCTATATATGTGGCTAAAGCTATTGACTTAACCTTTTTAAACAGAAACATGATCTACTGTGTTTTTTGACAGAAAATGCCACAATGTAAATAACGTGCAACGCATGTGATTATTAAATTCAGTTAATACATACTTCAGCGGGTATGAAGAGCACCGCTAAGAAGAGACAAAGGAAGAGGAGCTTCAGGTTCATGATGGCAGTTGACCAGAAGACATGTAGGAGAGTAACATGAGAGTGAGCTGACTGGGAGAGCCCTCGCACTTTTCCAAACATTTGGTAAGTACACTAACCTTTGAGTTAGCCCTTTCTTTCTGTCTTTTTTTTTCCTTTCTGTCTTTTTTTTTTTGTCTGGCATCCATCCGTGTTGCTGAGTCAGTTGTATTGATTATAACTGAGCTCTTAGATAGTTACCTTTATGGTCCCACATAATAGGAAAAATTCAGCTGAGTTTACCAATCGCTTGTGACGAACACATTTACAGTCAAAAAATATCTTCCCCCAAATGCTGACTTTAAGTTACTATATCTACATGAATGTTTTCCATGTAGTTTTGGTTACATAAGTACAGTGTAAAACATTACATTTCAGGAAATGTGGTCAAATAAATTTACTTGATTGGTATACATTCATGTTTATACCAAGCATATTTTTCTTAACGATTAATTGTTTAAATAAATGAACATTTAAAATTTATACATTTCAGCTGCATTAAAAAAAATGTCTTAATGTTTATTAAGGGCAAAAAATCTTCTTTTCTTTAATCTAATGGAGCATAATAACTGTGTCTGCCAGCCTGAACAAATTCCTCACATCAAAAAATGTTAAGTGAAATAAAAGATAATCTGCCAAGTATACCCAGGTGCAGAGAGCATGTTTGCTTAGAACTGACTGTTTGTTTGAATGTAGACTTTGGATCCACACATAGGTTCATATCAGGATAAATACCAGTGTGTGCTTTTACTAAAATCATAATTCACTGAAATAGCTGGCAAATCCAGCTGATCCATAATGTGTTAGTAAAGCTGAGGACTTTCCTCTGCTACATCAAAACCTCTTGCGATACCTAAACAATTACTAAACAGACTAGTACCTGATATATTTTCTTAGATTTTCACAAAGAATGATGCTCTTGCTTTAGTAACATCCTGGTTTTAATTTGAAAGTCTGAAGGTCTAAGTGATGGACATGCATGATTCCCACAGCCTTAACTGTAACAACCGCAACAGCATCACACTGAAATATTATTGTGAGCACAGAAAGCATTACACAGCCTGAGCATTAACACTGTCAGAATGTTGCACAAGCTCACAGAGTCGCTTCAAACTTCATAATCTCTTTATTTTAAAAAGTCGTTAGTTACAGCTTTAATATTTTTGCCTTATTGTGGGGTAGCAGCTTAAAAAGTAACTGTTCAACAGCTCTTCTGTGAAGTAAACCGGAGATCCCTGTTGGCAGATGAAGGGTTACAGATAACAATAGGTTGTGCATTGTTGCCATTGTGGTCATGACCAGGGCAGACAGCTAAGTAGAGGCAGTCTGAGAAGGTTCCCGTGCAGAAGGCAAACAGGGGTGTCATTTTGTCCGCCTCGAGAAACATCACCAGCCCTGCAGGAAAACTACACAAAACACCAATCCGGCAGAAACGCTTCGTGAAAGGCAGCTGATGCGGAACGCCTCCATGCCAGGCCGTATACTCGCCATCAAAAAACTCCACACACCAGGACTCAGGCCCGCGGCCGAGCCAGCAGTCCTCAGTTGTGCCCTTCCGAGGAATGTTGGGGTAGGTGACACCGAGCTCCCAGTAAGTCTTCCCGGTTACATCGATTTCCCAGTAATGGCGACCAAAGCTGAAGCCCTGCAAACTGATGACATTGAGGGTAGTGTCAAAGCGTCCAGGTAAGTCAGGAAGTTGCTGCCAGGTGTCCGTATATGTGGCACTATCGCCTTGGGGAGAGATGATCAGCTTTGGGTGGGCGGTTTCCGGATCCAGGCACACCTCGCTGGAATCTGGAGATATTTTACATTTTGGAATTTAACAACATTTTAACTCAATGTTTGATTGCAATTACAAATAATTTAAAAATATGTAAACTGACAGCTCTTGATGAGTTTCTTGATCATCGGGGTCTGGGAGCAGATAAGCAGAAGCATGTTATTGGTGAGGCTGATGATCTGCTCAGCTTTAGCTTCATCCAGGCTCACACTGCTGGGGTCTGTTTGGTTTAGCAGATCAATCACTCTAGTGGAGGCACACAGTAAGTAAAAAAAACATATATATCATCTGTTGGTACGTATAATAATGAAGCTTATTTCTATGATAGATTATAATTAATTTCCCTACCTGTCTGCTGTTTCCATGTCTTCCTGTTCAGGGTATGAAAAGAACGACTGGGGAAAAAAGCAAAAAAATAATCTAGATTATTTTTATTTTATCAGATTTATATTTTTTTTAAGACAGGAAACATAACATTTCCAGTTATATCTGGTCCACTGGACTTTGCCATTGTCAACTTTTTCACCATTGTATCAGGCTCTGTGTCCGTTTGGTCCAGTGCCAGAGTGAGTCTAGCCAGGTCCTGCTCTATCTCCTGGATCAGGGAACAGTTCCTCTCCATGAGCTCATCCAAGGCAGAGACAGCAGCCCGCTCTTCCATCTCCAGGTGGGACAGGGTAATCCTCAGGTCCTCATCCAGGACAGCTTGGATTTCTTGATATTTCCGAATGATACTCTTCCTTATCACTGAGGACTTTTTCTGAGTCGGGCATAAATATTTAGAAGTTAATTGCAGCCCTGTCACGAGTAATTATTTCACCTCTCTGTTCTGTGAACGGAACGAAACTCACTGTGATTTCTGACTGTCGTGCCGCGAGTTTCCTCAGCCTATATTTGACTGCTTCTCTCTGCTTCTTTAGACACTCTTGGTGCTTTCCCAGTGTCTCCTAAAGAAAGGGGTTCACACATATTGAGCAAACCTCAGTTGAAGCTAACAAAGTGGATCTGGCAGTGAAGTGCAGCTGCAAAAGCAGAAGCTCATTATGATGCAATGATAACGGCAAACAAAGAAATGACCGACAGGAAAATACTTCAATCAGCCACAATAGCCTTGTTTCAGTTATAGCCTTGTTATAGTATGAATCATTGTATGAAAGGGTTAGGATTACGAACTTTTACAATATGCTGATGACTTACTTTTATACTTATCATGTGCTTTGGCAAACCTTTGTTATAGTTTTGCCATCACAATGTTTCTCACACATACCGTACCTTCACACAGTGGGTTCATTGCTTCTTTTTCTTGAATGAATTAGAGAAAATGAAGTTCTCTGCAAGGTCCAAGTAATTGTTACTATTATTAGCACCATTACTTGTTTAAAGAATTGAACTTTTTTGTCACTCCTACATGGATGATTTCAGGTATGTTAAATTTGTATAGTAGCTTCTTGTTTCAGTTTTCTCCCAGTCGTCACTGGGAGGCCCCGTGACCTCTAAACGCACCATATAGTGTTTGTAAGCTGTCACCTCACATTAATTCAAAGGAAAATCTTATATATAAACATGTCAGGCTTGATTAATTCATTTGTTTCTCACCTCTCCTTCAGATTGTATTTGGCCTTCCTCTGGTTTAGACCCAGAATTGCCAAACCTCCGATTATGATGAAATTCCTGGGGGTGTGCGATATGCACCTTGAATGTTCTCATTCGTTCTCTTAATGTTTTTTTACACTGTTAACTTATTATGACTGACTTTTGAAAAAGAGCACAGCTTTTGGTTAAATGAGTACTTAACTGTTATTTGATGTACGGTACACATACTGTATATAGCCTGGTGGCGTTTCCTATATTTCATTTTTTGGAGTTTTTCTTTAGTTTTGTCGCTAATCTAATGCTGTAAAAGAAAACAAGAATCAGAAGTGACTCGGACTGCTGGGAAATGGTCTTCATTTCTGCTTACAGCACTCAGCCATACCTCACAGTGCCAATTTTTTTTGTAAATTTATGTAAATATCACTCAAAAAAATACACATCTCCTCTGTGGCATGTGACACTGCAATCCTTCATTTTTATCCCATAATAATATTCCTCTCTGACTGAATGAGGCCACACTGAAGTTTTCAAATGTATGCACAAGGGATGCATTAATACTTAAGAGTTATACTGTTTACTTACTGAAATTCTTCTTGTTATAAACTATTTATTCAAAGATGTGTGTAATGCCATTTAAAAAAAAATCCTTTTGATGTTTGTTTTATTTGTTTACAATATTTGTAACTACAAATTGTCCCATGCTGTGTACAAGTGTTTCCTAAATAATGGTGTAGTTGATGTTTGGTTACTGTGCTGAACGATGAAGGGTTGACACCAGAAGAGTGATTCGACTCCGGTGAAATAGAAAACTTCTCACCTTAAATGTGAACACACAGGCCTCCGAGAAGAAGTCAGTCACGATAAGCTACTCGTATAAGTGCAATATGACATGAATGCAAACCCGGAGAGGAGACAATTTATAAATAGGTTTTTATACTTAGATGGATTCCATTTCTCACCATGTGGTATTCTAAAATGTATACAATACATTCACCAGCCACTTTGTTGGGTTCACCTGCTCAGCTGGACGTTAACGCGAATATCTAATCAACCAGTCACATGGCAGTAACTCGGTGGATTTAGGCATGTATACATGGTCAAGACGACCTGCTGAAGTTCAAACGGCATCAGAATGAGGAAGAAACATGTTTTATGTGAGTTTTTGAACATGATATGCCAGACACGCTTGGCTGAGTATTTGACGAAACTGCTCGTCTACTGCATTTTCCTATGAAACCATCTCTAGGATTTATAGAGAACGATCCAAAAATGAGAAATTCTTCAGTGAGAAGCAGTTCTCTGGGTAAAAATGCCTTGTTGATGTCAGAGACAAATGTTCAGACTGTTTCAAGCTGACATGCACACAAATACTTGTTATAACCAAATTATGCAGAATCAAATCGCGGCTTGCAGCAGCAGAAGACCACACTGAGTGCCCCTCCTGTCAGTTAAGAACGGGAAAAAGAGGCTATAGTTCACACAGACAAATGATTTCTTGTCTGATTAGTGTCAGTTTCTGCTGTGACATTTGGATTTAATGTCAGAATTTGGTATAAACAACAATAAAAGCATGAATCCATCCTGTCATTTATCAGTGATTCAGGCTGGTGAATGTTTACTGGTGTGTGAGCAAGATTTTCTCTGCATACTCTTAGCCCCTTACTACCAGCTGAGTGTTGTTTAAACTCCACAGTCTACCTGATATTTTTGCTTTATTGTTCCTTTATGACCACAGTGTACACATCTTCTGATGGCTGCTTGTAGCAGGATAACAGACCATGTCAGAGAGTTCAGATTATCTCAATCTGGTTTATTAAACATAACAATGAGTGTGCTGTACTCATATGGCCTCCACAGTCACCAGATCTCACTCCAATGGAGCATCTTTAGGATGTGATGGAATGGGAGCAGCCCACAAATCTGCAGCAACTGTGCGATGCTGTCATGTCAATATGGACCAAACTCTCTGGTGAAGGTTTCCAGCAGCTTGTTGAAGTCAAAAGAGGATCCAACCCAGTACTAGTAAGGTGTACTTAATAAAGTGTCCAGTGGGTGTATATCTGTTCAGTGCAGAACCCACAATAATATATAAACCCCTTCAGTAAAGCAGTCAAAGTCAAAGCTTGTGTAACCCAACAGAGACTTCGCTAATCAGAGTGTGTTTAGGTCAGTGGACGCCACCATCTGATTAAAAGTTACTCAGTCCAAAAATTACTTCTTAACCTGCGTTACATCACTGAGCTCGTGTGTTTATTGGTGAAATGCAAACAAAGAAAAACAAACAGAAAAGAGGCGGTGGGTACCTTTGGTTTAGCAGAGGATCATTATGTTTCATGGTGATTTAAAGCTTTATTGGCTTAGAATTCAATACAACAAATGGCAGTGTGGGGTTTTTTTCTTCTTTTCTTTTTTTATATAAAACAGTATTTTCAAACACATTAGGGGTTTTAGCTATTTGTCACTTACTTTGCTTTTGATATGGCATTAAAATATAATACGATTTGTACTTCCAATCCATGTAAAGGGAGAGTGTCTGGCCGTGTTTATGAGAGCCTGAGAAGAGAGACATTTTTTGTCAGGGTCAAACGGATGTTCAGTGCGTAGCCATGGGAAGGAAACTAGTGATATGCGGGTGCTTGGATGATGCAACAGCTGTTGGGTAAGCTAACTGCTTTCCCAGTGACTTTTTCTTTTTAATTCAAAGACTCACTGAGCCAATTCTTGCAAACTTTGGACTAAAACCTTTTTAGCCCAAGCGAGGGTAAGCTGACACATGTTCAAGCTACGAGCATGGACATTTTGTAATGAGCGCCATGAGGTTCTACTGTACTTACAAAGTTCCACAGGAATCAACAGCGAGAGAAATAGTAGGAAGAAACGAGCAAGAAAGAAAAGAAAAGCGGTTCCACTCGAAGCAAAGCAAGAAGTAAAACAAGCGCATTCAAACCAAAGAACATGACCCTGTTCATCGTCCAGTCTCATTCTTTGTCATTTTTGAACGCGGAAGAGATTCCCGCTCATCGTTGACAGTGCAAGTCTAAAAGGACAAGTCTTTCAGTACATAGTCTCAGGAAGCATCAGAGCAAAGAGTCCAGTTCATGGCTTCCGTGATTATGTCAGGTTAAAACAATCAAATTTTTAAAAAAAGAAAAGAACAAAAAATATATATAGAAGAAAAGGAAATAAACCAAAACCTACATCTAGATTACAGCTGCTGTGTGCTATCTGAATGTACAGAAAATGCATGCGGCTCTGAGTGCTAGAAGAGCTTGGCCTTCTTTTTCATGTCGTTGCGTTTCCACAGGGGAAGCCTGTCAAACTCCTGGATCTCCATTCCAAAGATGTCAAAGAACGTTTCAGGTGCTAAGTGGCGCTAGAAGTGAGAACAAAGGTGGAGAAAAAACAAAAGGAGGGGAGGGTGGGGGGGTGTTCTCAGTTAGCACCAAAGCCATAAAAAAAGAGGTCACAACAGAAACGACAAGAAGCAAATGGATACTGCATATTCCTCGCTACGGTCGTATTTGTGTAACATGCTCTTTACACAAAGCAGAGAAATGCAGTATTAATTGCAGAAGGTCAGGTGGAAAACCGATACCTCCAGTCTGGTTCTGTCCACATCCCTGGGCAGTTTAGCTCTCCCTCTACTGGTTATCATGAGCATTTCATAGGGATACACCTTCAGGAGGAGACATTCATCAGTGGACAAGTCAGATTTACAAGCTTTTGAGTTCAGCTTCAGAACAATTTACAAACCATTTTCATGAAACAAAACTATAAAATTGGAACATTTTAGTAATTCTATTGCGACACAGGGAGCACTGGGTGGGAGAACAGGTATGTGACAGGAGGCTGACTGGGTTGTTGTATTTTTTTAAGTCACTGGGGAAATGCAGGTGCTATGACGTGTGCACTTTCTTTCACTTTGGGTGCCGAAACGTGCAACGGATTAGGGGGAAAACATGGAAACAGAGTTACGTAACAGGCTGTAATTTTTAGATTAATTTAAAGCAAACTAAAAAAAACCAAAACTGTAATGTAGGCCAAGTAAATCCACATGGGTATGACTGTCCTGGAAATCTAAGGTGTTTGTAATTTTTTTTTAATTAGCTAACTCCTTTGGTGCAAGAAGAAATTGATCACATTCAATGATAAGCAACTAGAAGTTCTTTGAAGCCTCTCACCAACTCATATCCACACAGTAATGCATATACGCCATTATATACTATACAGTATATAGTGATATGAGTTGTTTGGATGACAATTTGGGCGTTGGATTCTCTACTGTATGGTGCATACAGTATCCAGCCACTTTAAATCAAAGCTATGTGCAGATGAGCATGGAGAAGCCGGCATGCTAAGCGCTAGAGTGACTCGGCAGCTCCTAAAGCAGCATGCTGAACCCGGCTAAGGTGAGCCTTTCACTTCCTGCAAAAGTATTTCTTCCACCAATGTCCCCACACTACAGGGTTTATGCCATATCGCCTCGGACGTTTTTGTTTTTTTATCCGGATGAGATTTATTACAGTAAAAAAAACTCCATTGAAGAAGTGAACAATATATAATTTCAAAAAGAGATCTATCTACAGTATGTAGATTACAGTGTCATCAGTACAAAAAGAAGAAGATACTTGCTTTCGGTTCCAACATATTAGGCATAGATACTCCCCTGTCCATCCTTGCAAGTGCTGCACGGCCATCCTTAATGTGCTAAAGAACAGAACATACACAAATGTAATATAGTGGAAGGGGACTGCAGGGATAATGGCATGAATATGTCCACTAATGACAGTGGGCACAGTTTTCACTGGATGGAGCAAGTAGCCTGGATACTGTTCGGTACCTTAAGTAGTATTTACGATGGGCAGTCATTTACATGTTTTCTGAATGACTACGTTCCCTCAGGTGAGTTTTAAAATGACACAGCTACATACTGAGTTTAGCTTTGAGTCATAACACTGATAACACAACACACAGAACAAGGCATGAGGCAATGACTGTATATTGGACTTCTAGTACACTGGTTCAGCTACCGGGCTGTGCATGTTTGATTCTCATATTCGAGGAATTTGAAATCGCTCATGCCCCGTAGCTGACAATAATCCAACAGTGATGCAAGCATGTAGCAGGAGTGGGCGGTGTGCATTCAGGGCAAAATTTTTCTTGGAACCCACGTGCAAGCAAAATGTGTGATGCAAGATGAGGAGGCATGCCATGTGAAAAAGCAGATGAGGGACATACCTGAAACTCTGCAGGACAAAATGGGACAGAAAATGAGACTCACAGTTAATGGTTTTGCTGTCAAGTCCCCTGCCAAGCTACTATTTACAACACTGCTGTCCTTTGATGACACACGCGAATCATTGTGCAAATATTTCAAAATGCATGTCTACTTATGTACACGTAGCAAGCCGATTCTGAATACTGCTGCTGAATAGCTCTGGTGAAAACTGACAAGAGATTTGTTGGGTGGCTGTTTTTCGGTAGTATCTCTCACCTCTGCCTCCTCCGCACATGTCCCCGTAGCTGTTGTACTGGGTGAAATCTGTGGACTGAGGCTGCAGGAACACATGAACAGTACATCAGCATTAACATGTCGGCATTTCCTTTCTCAACTGAGACAAGTTCATTTAATTTTTAATTGAAATATTTAAGGCACATCAGGAATTAGTGTTTCTGCTACTGATGTCAAGACAGACTGCATTTGAAGGTGGACTTATTATACTCATTTCCAGCTCCATGTTTTATTCTGGAACTCCAGTAAAGTAGCTTTGCATAATTTAAAGTAAAAAAAGAAAAAAGTCCTTACTTATCTTTTACAGGCCCCTTATGCAACCCCTTAGTTCAGTCTAGGTCCCAAACACACCATTTTAACTTCTGTCTCTTTAAGGCCCACTTTACTCCAATTGGCTGCCCCTCGCCTGGCTTTGCAAACACATGAGAGTGCTTGTAAGGCCCGAGATGACCATATAAGAAAAATGTGTGCAACTCTGATGACAGTAGTTGGCAAAACATTGGAAATCAAGGATTCAGAGAACTCTGCACCCTTTGCCATTAACCTCATTATGTAGTGGGTATTCATATAAAAGTATGTTCTCACCCGATGTAGCCCATTTCTTCCATAGCCAGGCAGAGAGTTAGTTTTGGTTGGAGAAGGCGGATCTGAAATATAAATGTTGGCCAATTAATAATTAATTACTTATATTTGTTTTTAGATTTTAAAAAATGAAAATCAGGAATATACCATGTTAGAGGATATGGTATATTCTAACCTATAAAAAAAAGGATCACCAAGCTTCTCTGTACCTGCATCACAGCTGGTCTGTTTGGGATCGTAGCGCTGAGCCGAGAGGCTTCGTGCATGGCGCTCCCTTATCTGCTCTTTTTCCATCTCCTCCTTCAAAATGAGCTTCCCCAAACCAGACTGAATCTACAAACACGCATACTCATAAGAGTTACACAGCTATCGAAAGCTTTTGGAAAAACAGATGTATTGCATCTAATATTGACCGATGTGTGTTTGTTGACGGTGAAGCTACTCGACTGACCTTACTGAGATGCTCCTCCTGGAGCTGCTTTCTTTTCAAAGCCTCTTCCTCCTCCTCTTCTCTTGATCTTCTCCTCCCTTCTGAACCTACAGGTTCCAAACACAAGCCGAAAAAAAACCCAGATGAACAAAAGCATGCGTATGGAAAGTCACGAAGACACGTCCCTGAGGGATTCCATGCTTCAAACATTCTTGAATAGTACGACCACATTCAATGTTTCATTCACATTTCAAACGTAGACAGAAAGAGAACAGATATGGCCGCCTTGTTTGGGCGCCGAGCAGGGAGAAATACACACAGTAAATGGTGGCGGGTCGAACGCAAATGTGAGACAGAGCTGACGAGACAGACAAACAGAGGGACTCATTGGAATATTTGACTACACCGACATGGCAGAAGTTTACACTTCGCCGCTCATGTCGAGTTTTAAAGATGTCAAGTACACAGAACAGCACAATGTAAGACAGACAGACAGAAGTTTGAAGTCAGTCTCAGTTATCTCTGTCCAAGTCATTTGTGGTTCCATTGCATACAGCTAAAGGCCCCGTCGTGTGCAGTAAGGGAAAGTAAAATGGAGAAACTGATGCTGCCTCAAGCAGAAAGTAACATGACAGCAACAGAAACCAAACAACGCTTCTTCAGTTTTGCGCAAGCAAAAAACACAAAAAACGCAAAAGGCAAATACTGCTATGTCTGAACAAGAGTTTAAGCCTGGGGTAAAGCAGGGATGCAGTTAAGCTTCTGGGGGTAGCTATAGGGTTGGAAACAGGAGAGTTAGGTGGCAGTAAGGTGTCTGTTGTACCACTATGATAGCAGCGCGAACATGCCCAACAGGAGCCTACTGTACCTAACGCAGTGAGCGAGTAGGGCCAGCGATCACCCTCACTCCGTGAGCTGTCATCTGGAAAGGGAGCATGGGCAGCGGGGAAGGTGGCAGATCTGATGATCTCATCAGCAGACTTGATTTGGCGTGCTACGGAAGCTGTATCTAGGTTGGTAACCATGGGAACTGAGCTATCAGTGTCTGGGTCACAGCCTAAACCACAAGTAAACATCTTTGCACCATCTGATCGTCAGGCTCAATGATCATTTAATCCAGGGTCATCATCATTTTCATAAATATATATAAATATACAGTCTTTCTTAACAAGCCACTCCATAACAGAAAAAGCTTGACCTTTTTTCTTATCATAGAAGAAGTGAAAATCGGTGGTGGATAAGACTCATTGTGAGTATTAAGCGTATGATTAAAGAAAAGCCTCGAGTGTACACGTGGATTTCCATTTTAATGCCAGATTGTGGAATTTCCTCTTGCTGTTAAGTAATATAGATAGCACACGGAGAAAGACACTGTAGTGACAGTAACGCTCATCCCCCTTTGTGAGTCTCTACTTTGAAACGTGCCACAGGTCTTGCTTGTGGTACCCACTGCCCTCGCTCTTGACTCCTGGAAAATGAAGAGTGGTTATCCCGTAATTGTCACCACTCCACAAATGCTGCACAGCCTCGCTTCACCTACAGGCCAAGCGCTGCTTTTACTGCTATGACTTGTTAAGACGGACAAAGTAAAACAAGCTACAGGTCAGACATAAAAGGATTGGAGACAGACTTCAAACATTGCTTGTACACTGACGCTGACGGTGGCTATGGTTAGATGAATACACAGCTTCAGTTGACCTCAATAACACATAGAGTAGTGGCTACAGTAGTGCTTCCCAACCTTTTCAATATGAGGAACTCATTTAGACATTCATATTTTTCTTAATTTATACAAATATTGGGTTTTGGGTTTGTTTTTTTTAATTGCTTTTCATACAACTGCCAGAGTTGTGGCCTGCAACAGTAACAGCAACAGTTTTTGTTAGTTTTAGCTTCATCATCTTTGGATTTTTGTGTCCACTTTGTATGTATTTTTCACACAATTCATAACAAGTATTCGGTGGGGAATCACTGACACAAATTAATCGTCAAAAAGACAGAATTTAGTTTCTACTGCAAAAAAAGATCATAGTATAACAGGAAAGGTACCGTGTTGTTTGTAGATGGGTGGCTTTCGATAGATGTTGCTCCCCTGATCTGAAAACAGACATGTGCAAAAGACATTTACAGACCATACCGTGCTTTGATGAGTAGAAATGGTTTAAAAAAAATCTAGTGTAAAAACAAACGACAGTAAGTCATGCTACACTGGGATTTACATTAAAACGTGACCTGTGATACAGCTCTATGTGTTTTTTTATTAAAAAAAGAGAGAGGGAAAAACAAAATAGCTCCCAAATGGAGAAGAAAGAAAGAAAGGAAGAAAGAAAGAAAGAGCAGTGACAGGGTGCGCTCCAGCTCCTACCTGGGAGGTGGAAATGTTTAGGGGTCTGAGAGAGAGGCGGGGTGACCGGCCGGCTGTCAGGCCTGAGCGGTAGGGGAGAGCTCCGGCCACTCGGCGGGTCGGTGCCTCCAGTGAGAAGAACCAAGAACAGAAGGTAAGCAGGGATACTGCAGGGGAACCACAATTTGAACGGTGCAACACACAGGGACCAACGGGACCAGCTGAAGTCATTCTGAATGAATGGGGCACATTCTTTCTACTTTGGATAAATGCAATAAATGGGGCCGAGAAGAAGCAGAGCAGCGGCGTTCTGAATTTTGAGATTAAATGTTTGGGAAATGTGTTATGGGTAATGACGTTTGATGTCTGTTAGCCTGTTTTATAATATGAATTCAGAGTTAAGAAGTTAATACCACCCTGCATGCAGCAGCATATCGACACTATAAAGCAGTAAAACCTTTCTTTTTATCTCAGCCGCACAGTTTACTGGAGTCTGGAGACTCATTCAATGCAATACAATGCAAAAGAAATATTTATATATATATCCTTTGTTCAGCACACACAAAAGTATTAGTTAGGATGCAGGGTTTGGATTACTGATATCTCTCTAGTGCATGCAAAGATGTAAAGCACAAACACAAGGAGCCTGACAGCTACTTGGGCAAAGGTGAAGTCAAAGCAGAAGAGGAGCAGAGAGCATGTCAGCGGCTTAAAAAAGCATGGGTTTGACCGAAACATTTAGGCGAGAAATGTTGATGGATCCAGAATGACAGAGTGGGCACTGACGGGAGTCGCTATCCAGGTGATGATGGAGATGATGTGTTGCCTCCAGGGGCGGGGGGCGCAGAGAGAGGGCAGATAACAGTGGAGTGGGGCCCTTACCTTGGCTATGGGGGAGGAAGTGGTGTCTGAAAGGGGAGGTGGGGCGGGAGTCACTATTTCTGGAGCCCACACTGTTACTGCACAGGGAGGAGCAGAGCTTCTGCATGCCTGTCAGAGCCTCTGCCAGGTGGGAGAAAGAGTGTGGGAGGGAGGGAGAAAAACCCCAGGACCAGGCGATAGAGGTGGACAGTACAGGACGAGGGAAGGAGATATAAGGTGAGACATTGTGGGGCAAACGATATACGGAAAATACAGAGGGGTCAAATGTTGAAAAGAAGAAATAAAAGACACCCAAAGTGAGACGTAAGGAGTATTGAAGATGAAGATTTGTTACATTCTAAAAGCAAAGTTTTATGGAAAGAACAGCAAACTCAAACTGTGTTGTAAAAGGGGCAAAACTGACTTGAAGGTAATTACTCTGCAAATGGATTGTCTGCCACGTAAATCAAAGCGAGGCAAAATAACCTCAAGTCAATTTTGGTTACGTTCAACAACACAGGGAGGGAAATGCAAACGTTAAGGCGAGGCTGAGCGAACTCTGAATCATCATCATCACCTGTTTATCAAAGATTTTTTGGATCCACTTTATGAAAACCCTGAAATCACTACAGTAACACACACAGACACATATACACAAAATGAGTCTTTTCGAGGCCCTACCTGGCCGGTGAAAATGCTGCGGCGACCGTGACAAAGTGGGGGTGTATCCATGACGATTATAAACTGGTGATCCTATGGAGCCCTGACTGGTGGACCTCTGAAGGATGCGTTCCCTCCTGTCGTAAGATCCCTGTCAACACAGCCGAGTGATTACACAAGCTTCTGATGAACGAGAGCGCACTACACTGGACTGTATTTACTGTCGCCTATAGCAGGACAGTGAGTTTGATGGATTCGCTCACCTCACCAGATGGGGTTGGCGACATGTTTCTTGAGGACTGCAAAGAAATCAAACAACTCTGAATTATAACTTTGATTTTCACAAGAACATTAAAGGAAAAGACAAATTAAACTTTGCTTCCTTTTTAGCCATGCATCTAACCTTGTCATCCGGCAAGGGGGAACGTTCCCTCCTGGCAGTGTGGAGCTGTGAAGGACCCAGAAGTTCAGTGAGGCAAAAGATCTTTTATTACAGAGTGAAAAATATCTTAATCCGTAATAGAGTCCTTTGTGTTTATTATATCCCCTCTCTCTCTTTTTTTGTTGTTGTTGTTGTTGCATAAGAAAAAATCCCTTCAGAGGAAAATCATGTCTCATTTCAGTTTTATTCATGGACCGTTTTTGTGTGCGCACAATGAGAAGCACGCAGTCTGTGTGTTTACCTCTCCCACACTCTCTCGTCTCTCCTCTCTCTCATCCAGGGAGGTGGTGTACATAGGTTCATAGGTAATAAGATCGGGGCGCTCAATGTCATAAATGGCTTTGACTTTTGGAATGGCAGCTAGGTCTCTGTAATCAAGGATCTCATTGTCTACTTTTGCCTAGGGAGACAAACAAAGACAAATGTGCACACATACACAGGAGTACAGGGAGATTACTACTGCTGAGCGAGGTGCAGCTGTCAAACAGCAGTTATGCTAAAAAAGGTGTGGGAAGGGTAATATCATTGACAGTATTTACAGAATCTATTCAGACTGTAGCTCTGTTTGTGACATTTCTTACATAGATAGTGTGACCCGGTGAGCCAGGTATGCTTGAACCAGGTCTGGAACAAATACTCTCAGACGACGACCTCGTCGGCTATGAAAAAGAAAACACAAATGTGGCTGTTAGTCACATCAATACCTGTCAGAGCAGTTAGCCTACCAGGATCCACAGCCTACTGGCATCTGCATATTAGCCAGGATTGTCACCTGGATATTATGCATTATTAGTACACGGTTGGTCTTTATACTGTATGAGGGATGAGAGGGAACGGCAACCCCTGTATTTACGTTTCATGAATTATATGAAGTACTTTGGAACACTAACATGTCATCTCATGATTAAGTCATTCATTTGCAAATTTGCAAAGTGAATGAGTGATTTAGTGCTGTGATTTGATGTTCTTAAGGACCTCATGCCTGCTTATGGGAAATGAACTGTCTGAATGGCAGCAGCAGGTCTGCACGTGGCATAATTGAAGCTTTTCGCCGAATGGGTAAATGTTGATTTTAGGAAAAAGCCACATCAGTCGTCTGTGACAGCTCGTCTGCTCCTTTAAATGTGCGAGCACCTTTGTCTCATGCGCCGTCGACATGTTCAAAGACAGGACTGAATGGCTCCGTATGACACACAGAGAGAGGGCACTGCAGGCTGTCTCCAGCAGATGGCAGCATACAGTGCACTGTGTCCTATGGACATGGTGGAACACAGGATGATGCCATCTCATAGCCAATAGCGAAATACAGTACCTGCCTTTCTGTTTTTTGGAGGAATAAGAGGGACGGAGGCATTAGCTGTGGAGGAAGGGAGAGGGGGAGGGGGGGTTCACAGGACATCACACAGGGGTTGTACCTTTGCTGCCCGACTCACAGTTCACACATACATCAAGGTGAACGTGGCCACGCGTAAATATGCATATGAACAAATATTTATATACACACACATAACACATGGAAAGGCAAACACACACACACACACACAGCTGCTTCAACAGGCAAATTATTTTACAGCACAGTAAGTTAAATTTTAACAGCAAGGGAGTGATAACAGTGTGTTTATATGTAAATATTCCAAACTCTATCTTTTCCTGTAAAACATTTCCGTGACACATAGAAAATCCCAAAAGGTCCCAGATTCCTACCCGCTCCCTGTGCCTTTCTTCTGTTCTGGTGGTGTTCTTGCACCCAGGATGCCAGACTGTTGACCCTGTGCAGGGAGACAGAGAGAATAGATTCAGGTTAAAATGATTAAACACATAAATGTAATTTTATTCATAAGGGCTCCTCATGCTCTAGATCAGGGGTTGTAAAACATAACGCCCATGGGCCAGAATTGGCCCAGCAAAGACTCCATTTCGGCCCACTGGGGGGCTTTGGAAAATGTGAAGAAGGGCATACGTTTCGATTTTTAACAGTATTTTCACACGTTTTACAGCTTTTTTCTATTGATAAAAACTTCAATATGGCCATTCCTAATCCACCAAAGTAATTAAGTAATAATTAAACAATCAAATAGCCTAAATAACTCATATTTTGTCATTACCTAACTATAGAAATTTGTGTTTTTTCACAATAGCTCCACAGTGAAAAAAAAGGAACAAATAAATCTGGACCAACTGTAATTTTACACACTTATTTACACAATTATAGTCTTGCTGACAGAAATACTTCATTTACTGCAGCAACATTTCTATTTCATGGAGAAGAACTGAGATGAAATCGCACTTCTTTTTCTTATTGATTCTAGGATAAAGATTTCCCACTGCAGAGACCCAGAGCTGACAGTGTGCCGGGGACATTTTTAAACATAAAAATCCACATAAGTAAGAAGACAAAGAAGGTTACGAGAGGATGCCGAATGGTCTGAGAGAGGAAGTGACGCAAATCATTTCTTATGATCACCAAATCCCAACATCTAAGAGTTTTTAGAGTGATGTCTTTTACGGTGTTTTTCAAATCTTTGGGAAAACGACAGAAGAAGTATTGCTCTGCACTTCAAGACTTAAAGAATGTTGATACAATGTTCATTTTGACCTTGTTTTCACCAGCTTTTCACTCCCATCATACTGCAGAGGAACCAGTCTCTGGGTTTACAGCGGCACAAACATACGTCTGTGGCTCTGAATACATCTACTGGAGTGTGGCAGTTAAAAAGACAGCTTGCAATCTTTTGGGGGTATTGTAAATACTGAACAGCAAACTACTATATGTTCAATGTTTTGTTATTAACATGCAGCTGTGACTGAAAATAAAATTTATTAAAAAAATTAAAAAAATTAAAAAAGACAGCTTGCAGAGAATAAAGAGCTTTGTGAGTGTGGTTTTTAGTGTATAATCTCCTATATGAATGTCAGACTATTATAATTTACACCCTTATGACAGAAATAACTACAATTTTCTTTACATTTTCTACCTCCTAATACTATTTCCGCCTTTATAGCTCTAATAGTTGAATAAAATCCGTTTCATAATGCTAAACTTTACTCAACCCAAAGAGGAGTGTTCAATTTATCAGTGTCAGTTAACAAACACACACACAAAAAAAGAAGCAAAAAGGAACAAAGTTTTGATGAGGCAGCAGCAGCACATGTAGATCCGCTCACCTTGCAGATACATCTCTTCTCCTTCTGTGAACATCTGATTGCACCTGCTGCATCGCGCACAGCTGGGGTGATAGTGCTTATCTCCTGCCTGGAAAACACGGAGCGCAAAACAGACTTGTCATCGTGGGGGGAAAAATGCAGACGAATGAAGCCTGCAGTGGGACAGGTGAAGCTGAGCTATGACTTCCAGGCAGTAAACCTTGTGCCCCACCTGCTCTCAGCTACGCTCGCTTCCTCGAACAGCCCATGTTAGGAAAGAGAGCGTTTCATCAGATCCAGTGTGCCAGTAGTTTCCTTTCTAAAGGATTGCTTCACATGCAAATGGGCAGCAGCGGGTGAAAAAAGTTTCCCTAAAAATGCCATTCAGCATCTTTTCACATTTTTCTCAGTAGCTCATGGAGTCAAGTGAGGATCTGTGTGACTTTACTGCATCACATATTGAGAAATCATTCAACGTATTCCAGTCAAACATCTTACTATTTTAAAAAGATGAATATGATGGTTCAAAATGGCACAGTCAACCTGCTTTGAAGTATCCGACCGTCCGGCTTTGTACCTTCCTTTCATATTGTGCTCCAGTAAAATGGTCTGACAGCTAGAGCGCCCAAACTTCCGTCTATACTGACGTACCACTTTGCATGTGGAGCGTTCTGTTAAAAAGCCCAAGCAACCTTGACCACTGGTGATAAATATCCAAATGAATCACCTGCTGTCTAACAACCCTCATTAAGAGGCAACTCAAAGATATGAAGCCACAGACTAATATTTGCATTTTACTGCATGAGAAAAAATGACTGTAGAAGAAACTTTATAGTGCCTTCTACCCAGCACTCTGCCAAACTCAATTCCCTTTCCGCTATAATAAAAGTACTTCTGCTACATGTGCAGCGTAGCATTACAGACACTCCGATTCCTCTCGATCTCTAACAGCACCATTAATGACCCCTACATTAATAAGCCATTCACACTGCACTCCCAAAAGGAACAGACTATATGCAACCTGCTGATGGCTTTACAGTATTTGGCCTGGGTCTTGGGTCAGTGATTAGGCTTTCAGACTTTGGCTTTGGCTTCACTGATCCACTGGCAGCGGCTCAGGGATGAGACCCAGCAGCCTTTTCCTATTGTCATAAAGGCCTGCCTTAGTGTTGGATTACTGTAAGCCTGGTTGGCTAGCAGTGACATTTTCATACCATTAAATGACACATAACTCAGCGTCTGACCGGATCACTGTTTGCAGAACAAGCAGGCTTGCATATGCTGGAGATGCTAGTGAACAGACACAGTGTAAAGGACATACGTGTTTTTTAAGCGCAGTTCTAATAATGCCTAAAAAGTGTTTCGTAACAGGTGATAGCATGGGGATACCAGTCACTTTTTAAATGTCAGATCACATTCCCTCTTATATAATATTTATATCGTTTATGCCTGAGCGTGTTTTTGCAAATGTGTATTTAGGCAGGAGTTGAGAAGACCTAAAATCTGCTAAGAGTTAATCTTTTAGTTGAACACAGTCGTGTCAAGAGTCTGTTTGGCTCGGTGCAGAGGAGATTACACCGGAGATTATCAAACTACATTTCACAATTCTGCTCCATGCAACATCCCCGGTGTGTGTCTGCATGGGAAGCAGAAAGGCAGACACACTCTCAAGTATTAAAGACGTCTGAATCCAAAATAATGCAAACAATCTAAACTTGAATTGTACTTTCCCAAAAATTATGATTAAAAATCATTTAAATTCTAGTGATTTAAGGATTTAAACGCTCAGGATTCCCTCAAACTTACCTAAGGCAGGTTCTCGGGAAACTCAGAGGGCGGCCACACAAAGAGATATCTGCGCATACTAAGAGTTAAATGTGATATGGATGTGTGTGTGTGTCCTTACCTCTAGCACCTTCCCTGTGATGAATTGATGGCACGCCTCACACTGAACTCCAAAATGGGTCTGGTAGTCCTTCTCACAGTAGGGGGCGCCATCCCTGTGAGGCGAGAGAGACACACGTGGAAACGCTTGACAGTGAAATATTACATGGAGCGTGAACCCTGTGCAGGCCTAAATTCAAGCAAGCAGGCTATAATCACAGCAGATATGTGCTCCTTACTTGCTGATGTACTCCCCGGTCAGCACTTTGTTGCAGGCCTTACACTTAAAGCAGCCCAGATGCCACTGTTTGTCCAAAGCAAGGAGAGCCTGTCCGTTCTTAATGTCTCGGCCACATCCTGCGCAATCTACGAAAGCAAAATAGGTGTTGTTTAAAAAAAACACACAACAAGAACATGAGTTAAAAGTTGAAGGAAGAATCTAATTAATACTTTGTTTGAAGGCTTGTTTAAAATAAAAACACAGCCTTTACATACTAGCTGAGGCATCTTGTCACTTCTGACCCAAGACACTAGATGGTGATAGAGTGTAACCAGCAGCGCTCTGACAGCTGCCGCTTCCTATCATCCACTTCTCTCCTATCGTGGTTCTAAAATCTCCATCCATAAGCAAGTAGGATCCCGAGGCTCTAAAAGTGTAAGAGGTTGGTTTCTAAATGAACAATCTTCTTGTCATCTCTTCTTTAATGAATGGAGGATGAAAGGAACGCAGAGCCGACCGCAACCACAGGGGATGATAACTACGTGAGGCATAACAAGGTTGGGATGATGACGTGAGCAGAATCAGCATGCCTTATTTATAGGTGACCTTGTCTAAAAGCTCTCGAAACACCAACAGAGACACCAGTGGGGGATGAGGGAGGGAGAGAGGCAGCTAGAAAGAGCAGGAAGAGGAAGAGAAGGAAGAAAGAGAGGATCCAGAAGAGGAGGGGGGTTTGAGGGCCACACAATCCAGAGGAAATGCACGGCCATGCATTATTTAGCGAGACCTGTCCTTGGTGTTATACATAAAGGAAAACGGATGGTCGGCACATGAGGCTGGGAGAGGTGGAGGATCTCCCTGAATGCTACAAGTTCTTTGTTTTTACTTCAATTGTAAGTAGGTTTTAAGGGAACTCCTGCACTGTGATGTGGAAAAGAACCATTTTTAAACCTGCTTAACCCCTTAGGATTTCGCTTCTGCTTTGCCTTCTGCTCACCTTACAAACAAGGTCTTAAATAATCAGGCCCGGTCTTATCTTATAGACTACATAGCACCATATCACTCCAGTATGCTGCAGGCTTACTTGTGGTTCAGTTGACAGACACCCTCTACTTTTAAGATCAGATTTAAATCTTTTCTTTTTGTAAAAGCTTATAATTAGGGTTGAATCAGGTGACCCTGAACCCTCCCTTAGTTACGCTGAAAAAGGCCTAGACTGCTGAGGGCTTCCCATGATGCACCGAGTGTTTCCTCTTCACTCGTCTCTTTTCACTCTCTCTGTTTATTTACCTGCATTTAATCATCATGTTATGATTAAACTCTGCTTCTTTCCACAGTGTGTCTTTGTCCTGCCTTCCTTCCCTCACACCTGACCAGTCACCACAGATGGCTGCCCCTCCCCAAGCCTGGTTCTACCAGAGGTTTCTTTCTGCTTAAAGGGAGCTTTTCCTTCCCACTGTCACCAAATTCTTGCTCAGAGCAGGTCGTTTGTTTGTCAGGGTTTTCTGTCTATTATTATAGAGTCTTAATATTACAATATAAAGCACCTCAAGGCAACTGTGCTTTGGTGTTACAGTATATAAATAAAACAGAATCAAACTGGCAGTTTGGCATGTAGGGAAATTGACTTTTGTGCCAAAGGTTTGACGATCGGTTGATACCACTTTATTATCTTTATCAAATATGAACCTTCCCGGCAGTATTTTCCCAACGGTACCTGAACTTCTCACTAATTAACCGTTTTAAAAAAAATAAATCTTGTTTGTTTAATCATTATGAAAACAAAAGAGTGAAAACTATTGACTAACTAACTTACAGCTATAACTTCATATCAAATACAGTGGAAGGCAAAATATCAGACTATTAGTTTATTTGGCTTCAATGCCGGAAACAGTTACGTACAAACAGTTCTTTAAACCGAGAATCTCTAGATTCATTAAAAAGATTCATTAAAAAGAATTTTAATGTTAGAGTGCTTGACCAGAGCGGACCCTACTCATTACACCCTGTGGTATATATTCCCCATGATCCCAGGCTCTGTTGATCCCAGGTACAGCTGTGCAAATATTCTCTTTAAAATTCTCTCTAAAAGTTCCTTTTTCTTTTATTTATTCATTTTTGTTTGCTTAAACAAAGATGAACACCAGCTTTTCTTTACTTTTGAGTCTTTTTGATCTGCGGTTCAGCATTACTCTTGAACTTGCTTGGCCTGATTCTAGCAGCACCGACTATCACACAGTTAAATGTCGAGCACATTTAGACAACGAATTATTGAACATGCAGCTTTCCTCACAGCCAAGCTGCAGCAGCACCTGCAAGTCTCTACAGTTGTATGTGCTTAAAGTGTGCACTTGTGGTGACGTGGCTTTGTAGACGTAACAACAAAGCCATCCAGCATGCTGCTGATTATCTTGTGCCAACTACATTGGCCTTTAGAGCTTTTCCAGTGTGTCTCTGGGCAATCGCTCACAACTGTTTAAGATCTCAAATAAATCGAGAAACACTTTTTACAGAAGTCATTACTGATTCATGTAACTTCTCAAGTTAAGAATTGACTATAACGTCTGTGGGTGCGAAGTTTATGAGTAAGTAATGAATGACCCACGGACAGGCACAACTCCACATTTATTATAGATTTTCACATTGAACTGATTTTAAATTAATGCTAATAATGTGTGGGCAAGATGACTGATATGGACCTGAAAATTATTCTTCACTGCCAAAATATTACGACTAAACTGACTGGTCAACAGCTACATTAAATGCCACGTATGAATCAGGTCTGGAGGCTACGATTTTCCAGACTTTTTGTTTCTCTAAAACCAAATAAATCCCAATAATTCACTTTCAGTTCATGTGTAAAGTCTATCAAACTATCATTGTGTGAAGGTTAATTCCTTTCTGTTTGTGTAACAGACAATGGCTACTCACTGCTGGAGCCCAGGATGTCCTTTGGTCCTGGAGACATGGGCTCGACACAGTATTGACAGAGACAGTCCTTTCCATTAAAGGTCACCCTGTCCCCGGCAGGAAACGGTCGTCTAGAAGCGAGGTGACATCAACAACCAGTCAACAAAGCTGCGCTCCCATGGTAAGTGTAAGAGTTTATTAGCTGTGGCTTGCAGGTTGTTTGATGTGTGGTGAAGATGACAGGGCCCAATGATGCGGATGTATGTCGACACTGTCAGCCTGGGGAGCTCATTTAGTCAGATGACGTAGACATGACACACAGCATGCTACTGTAAACTGTCTACTGGAATTACTCCTGCCATGAACTTTGTTTGTCCATGACAATCATTCCACGGAAAATTTAATTGTAGCTAAAATGGAGAGTCACACATGAATCCAAGAAAGTAAGACATGAGCAGCGTTAAAGAGAAGCACCTGTGTTGATTTTGCTCAAACCAAATATGCACTTAATAGAAAGAGGAGAAGATTTGCTTCAAATTTCAAAGAAGATATATTTTTAGCTCAGAATATCATGTAACTGCAATTAGCAACTTTTCATACTTCACATCCCATATTTTATATTTTAGAGCTTATTTTAACACCTTATTGCTGCTTGTTGGTGCTCATTATTATTTTGCAATGCAATCACACTTTTTCTGCAGTCCACATGCCAACCTGGTGAAAGCAGTGAATGTCTTACTTGCAGATGGTGCAGACGAAGCAGGCAGGGTGGTAGGTCTTGCCCAGAGCAGTAACCACTTCTCCCTCAACAAAGTCCCCACAGCCATTGCAGCGGGTACCGTGCATGCGTTGGTAATCCAGCGTGCACAGATAGTCTCCATTTTTCATGAAGAAGCCCCCCTGGGCAAGGTCACAGCCACATACTATAGGAGACACACAAATTGGCACTCAGTGAGCCAGGTCATTTAATGCTTTAAGGCGTTCAACCATCAAGGCTCACAACTTGTCCATGGCTCAGTGGCTTTCTTAACAACTGCTAGCCTGGAGTGTGTGAAATGGACGATGACTGGAAAATCACTGAAAAACACATATTAATAGCTCTGTGTGTACAATGGGAAGCAGAACGAAAAATCCTCTCATCAGCAGTGTTCACAGCCAGGCTATTAAAAAAAATCTTCTCGCTATGAAACATTGTTGCATTTAGAGTTCACGTCTATCAGTCTGCACTACTCTGGCAAGGCTTTTTTCCCTTTGAAGGTTCAATGCAACAACAATTCGGCAATTGTCCAGCCCAGGAAATAACTGTGATATGTTTTGGAAGATAACTTGCTCAAAATGTTTGGTACTACACTGATAGCCTACAACAAGCTTCCTTCTATTTAAATGTAACCTTGTCATCTACACAAACATTCAAAACTCACAAGGTAAGAAATAGAAATTCACAAACAACTGAGGTGTTTTGGTGTTTGTGTGACAAATAAAATATTTTTACTACTCAGAATTTGTATGGCTGACCTTTGTGTTGGCATTAAAACTGACTTAAATAATCATATGTGTGTAATAAAAAAAAATCTGTGTGTATAAAAACTATCAGTTAAAGTAAGTATTTGTCTTTCATATAGTACTCAGAACATAGTATTCACTTATTAAAGAACATTATTAGATTTTGTTTTAGGATTTCCAAACGTTACACTTTACATTAAACAGAACATCAGTCGTTGCAACATAATGAGAGAAGGTTGCACATTTTCATCATCAGCTTGCCCGTACGGAATATTTCAACCCTCCATAATAATCACTCAATCCGTGCAGTTCACCATTTTAGCACCGAAGAGAGAGCCTGCGAATTTAATAGCCCTTCGGAAATGCCAGAGCTAAGAGGGAAAATATTTTTGATGTTTGAGATAACTGCACCTAATCATTCTTATGCAATGAGGCACGCTAAATCCTGGGGATGAATGGGAGCGGGTGAGGGAGTGAATCAGGTTTAATTGCATTAAGACTCAGACATGATGAGATTAGCTTATAAACTAAGTGAGTCAATAGGAAAACCAGCAGTGGAGATTTGATGTCCAGCTGCCCTGGCTTTTCAAAAGATACATGCCATTATGTAAAATGCCTTTTTAGAACCTCAGTGAGGTCGACTTATTGAATTGAAATGAAAATAACTGCAATGAAACAGAAACTTTTGTGCATTTAATGAAATTAAAGTGTACAAAAGGAGGCTATTTGGGATCCATCTGCAAAGGCATCTCTGAGTGTCAGAGCTCAGTCAGCCTGAGGATTACTACTAGTGAGGTTGGACACTGATAAAAGCATACATTCAATTAAAGCAAGGACCAGGACACCGAGTCTTTTGGCTACTAAAGCTGTACTAGTGTCTACTTTGGAAACCTTCTCATTATCCTTATCATGCTTTTATCACTCCTGTGGCATGCACATGTAAAGGACCGAATTAGGCACTAATCTCACCGTTTGCTTGTGTTATTCTAGGCTCTCGATGAAGTAAGCTAACTCTTAGCACTCCAGTCTTGGATTAACTACAAAGGTTTAAGCAGGGCAAGATCTGAGCTGGCCCGAAGTGAGATGGGTTGGTCAGCTGTGGGCGGCTACATAGTACTCATGCCAGAGTGCTAGAAACCTATCAGTAATAAAGCTTAATGAACAAGGATTTGCACTCTCTTGTCATAGTAGACAGGATGGCACTTTAATTGAACAATGCAGGTCTGAGAAGTGAAGACGAGTCATGCCACCATGCATTCGTCCAGTCGGAAGGTCACAGAAAGGACGTTGTGGCATTAAGGGACTTGACTGGTCCTATAGTTCAAACTTTGTATGGACGGGATGCATTCTGGGACAGAAAAGGAAGAAAGAACTGTTTATTGGCACTATCGTGCTTCCTGAGTACAAACAGCGAGGAAAATTCTTCATAACAAAACAAAAAAAAAATCAAACCAGTTCATTAAGTAGCACGGACTGAATGAAAGGCAGCTAATGTCCTACTATTGTGACAGGATCAAATTAGCAGAGAATTTTAAAACTTCACACTTTGGCTGCCAATTTTCACATAACTCCCACATTTTTCTTCTCCCGTTTAGTCTTAGTGGTATGAAAGATCATTTTTAAATTGTAAACACATGACTTATTCACTAACAACTGGTCTGTATTTTAATATTAAAGGCTTTCTGACATGGAATAAAGGTGAGAGAAATCACATGCAGTAAATACTAGTAAAGATATTTACTCATATATAATCCCCAAAGCAGTTTACCTCTTTACTTTACTTGGTAACACTTTATAATATGGCACAGGAATAACTATGCTATAAATAAATTGAAGTAGTGTGTAGGCAATTTTAATTAATGCATAACTGCATGATTTTAACAAACAATATTTCCTTATTTTCCATCCTAAGTACATTATACTTTTTGGGACACATTAGAGAGTGGATTAATCTTTCATTTTTACATCTTTACATCTCCATCTTTATTATTCACATCAAGCCAGCTTTTTAAAAGTACAATCCTTTTGAAGGTTATGTTTGAAGTGTGGTTGAGGAGAAAAAAAAAAGATCATAATCAACATCAAAGGTGTAAAAAAAAATAAGCATGTAAAAATGCAAGATAATAATCTAAGAGAGGAAAATATTGTTTGTTTTTCTGCAGAATTGCTATGAAATTATGTACAAAATACTTCCACTGTACTCATGTAAAATACCAGAAGTTATGCAATACTTAAAATTACTACTTAAATTTACTTACAGTATTACTATTTCTTTGTTTCCCGACTTGTTATCCCCATATTCTAGCGTACCTAATTTATTTATTTGTAGTAAAATATAATTTGATTATAATTTCAAATAAAATATGTTGAAAATTTATTTATTGTATACTGTACCTTTACATGTGAAGCACTTGAGGTGAAAGTGCTTGTTCTGCACCCGGAGCACCTCGCCCTTACATGGCTGCCCACACTTGTAGCACTGAATTAGGGGCTTCTCTGTAGAGTGGTGGCGTGTGTCCTGCGCATGAGCCACTGCAAAAGAAAGCAGACACAATATCAACATTACTGCTGAGCTGTAATGCTGATGAGCCACGGGAATTGCTAGACGTGGCAGTCAATACGGTTTTTGTGACATTTCTTATAGTCAACAGTTAGTCAACATTAGCATGCTCGGCACAAGGACCTGAATCTGCAACATCTCACAAACACCAGAGCTGAAGAACAAGTGCTCAGAGCCTGTCAGCGTAAAAAGAAAAGAAAAAGAATGACATTGAGCAGGACAGCGCAACTTTGGGTTCTTGGCCAGAGAGACTCTCTGGAGAACATCAGTCTAAATATAGTCTGTCTCCGTCAGTTGAGGATGGACAGTCAAAATGCTGAGGGGAGCAAAGCTTGGTAAATAGAGCACTAAAAGGGTATTGATAAAGACTGTTTCACTATTGAGTTTAATGTACTTTCATTCTCAAAGGAAAACGTAATTTAGAGTTATGGACCATTTACTGTCTCTGGCTAGCTTATCGTCCCAATAATCATTTGACTCTTTTTGACATGTAAGCGCAAATAAAGCTAGAGTCCATCCGGCAATGGGGTCACACTAACTGCAGAACCAGTGACTTCTGAGACAACTCTGCCTGCTGACAGCATCTTTCCTGTTTGTGACATTTTTGCACTGGCAAATCTTTGGACAAACTGGCAGACACATAAACACTGACACAAAACCACCTGCTCCAGTAGATGTCCTCAGGTCCACATTTTTGAATGAAAACACAGACATACACGCTTAGACTCACAAAGTAAAAACCAGCCTCTAATAAAACAGAAGAGACGTCACTTTTGCTGTGACTGAGTAACTCATTCTATAAAAGCCATGAATGAATAAAACAATGGTAGGCAGCAGATAACAGTTTTATAAAGGCAGCCACATGTCCATGATGTACTGACAGTGTGCACGCATGAGGAGAAAGCGAGAATGTAAAGGAGCAGAGCCACTTTATAAAGGACACGAGTCTTTTAGTGCCGCTTGGAGCTTAATGTTTATGTCAGCATTCTATCGCGCTCAAGATGACAATGTCAGCATTGCTGATGTTACAAAGGTGCATTGCTCACTATGTTAGCGAGCTTAGATTTATTGACTGTTAACGCATTCATATAATTGGTGGTAATTAATATAAATTACTACCAATCACAAACACAAGAAGGTCTTATGCAGTATACACCAAATATTCAAATTTGGATTAATTGAAGATTAACTGAATTAGATTAATTGAAAAAAGAGTGTTGGAACTACACTTCATGTCACTCCATTTAATAGTTATTATTAATCTAATGGCTCTCTTCCATAGTTTCGTGTCCCCTCACCTCCATTTGTGGCAGATGGCTGCCTCTCCCAGAGCCTGGTTCTGCCTGAGAGTCTTCCTGTTAAAAGGCCGTTTTTCCTTCTCACTGTCGCCAAGTCTTTAGCTTACAATATAAAACACATTGAGGCGACGCAAGTCAGGGCAATCATAGGTAATTCCTATGGGAACCATGAATGTCTAGACCAAGAAAAGCGCCAGTCTATCAAAAAAAGTTGGTTCTGTGGACGTGAAAATTGGGATGGTATCCGAGGATAACCAAACTCAGTGAGGCTCATCTTTAAGGCCATGAATGCCTATATCCACATTCAAAGCAATGGAACAAACTGAGAAACAGATTGAGATATTTCAGTCTGAACTAAAGTAGTGCAACCACAGCCTAACATGGCTATAACATACTTGTTGTTCAGCGTCAGATAATGTACAAACACATTTAGACATCACGTTCTTGGTGTGAGGTATTTTGACCATCCTTAGAATTATATAAGGCTAGGCTATTAATGGCAAGCAGCACCAGCATTATTTTTAGATCCACGATGTATCAGCATGTGGCATTCCTCACTTAACACTTTGGGCATCCCTCTTAAAGACAGACGTTAATCTGCCACTATTGCATGGAACGTAAATACAGCTGCAGTGCCGCACTGCACACAGCTTATCAGCTGTTTGAAACCAGCAGATTATTTGACAGTCGGAAGCTTTAACTGGCAAGCAGGCTTTCGCTTTTCCTTCTTTTGTTACTTCTTTCTGTCTCTTTTTCAAACAAAGACATACCCACACAAATATGCAGAGTCACAGTGAGAACAGACATGAAAGGCTCTTTCCTCTTTCTGCTCTGCAGTAGATCATTAGTCTGCAAGGCTAAAATAAGACACCGCCAAAATAGCGAATACTGAAATAGTATCATGAACAATCGATGGTCTACCAAAGAAAGAGATTACTCTGTACTTCTGATGACTTGCCCTACCTTGTGTCCCATTATTTACGTTTAGACTGGCTTACTAATGTTTAAAGATGGCAGAAAGAGAAGTCCAATTTTTTTAAAAGGCATTTCAGCTATTTTTGATTTAAACTTGACTAAACCTTTATTGTGGCAACTCCTAAAAGGAATAACAACAACATTACATTATTCTATTTACATTTTGAAACACAAAGGTACAGAGTAGTTGTGAGATAACAGAAAAAAAAAGGTGGACTATGAGTGGAGGATCTTTCTCCTTGGTGTTTCTGATGTGATTACACTCAGCAGGACAATGACTCATTTCTGGGTGAACCAGACTACTGTAAGAGTAAATGGAGTCCCAGCAGCTCTGTATGTGACATTGCACCTCGATGGAAAAACAGAGGCCATCTGGGTAACCGCTCTCATGAAAAATATCCAATCCAATAAGTCAGCCTCAGGAACATGCTAGAACAACTTAAAGGCCAATTCCATTTCCTTTTCTTTCTTTCTTTTTGGTCGCATTTACTCGTACCAGTAGTAATAACACTGTGCTCATGAAGGAAACTGACAAGATTTAGTAGCATAAATCAAATGAGGAGGAAATTTTATATATAATTGTATATTTCTAACGATGGTCTAAATGCTAGCTGATCAGGCCAAATTGTACAAAAACTGACAAATGAAGTAACTACAATGACACAAAACCAAGAGCTAGTTTAATACTTTAACTTAATGTTAATCAAATCAAAAATAACTAAATACCTAAGTCAAATATCAAATGAACAAAATAAAAAAAAAACATTTAAAGTTGCTGCATCTCCAAACACCCATATTAGCACTTCCTCTGTTTGGGAATGCTACATTCCAAGGCCCATCTTTTGTTTATTTGACACATGACCTTAGCTGCCAGAAGCCTCACAAGTGAAATGTGTGTCAAAAATGAAGATAAGAAAATGTGTTCTACAAAGTGCTGGTACATGAGGTTGCTGACTGTGCCAGCACAGCAGGTTACTGGCTTTCTTTTTAGCAATCAAAACAACTTTCATAATGTTGCTATAAAACAAAATAGTAAATCAGCAAGATGTCATGTGATTTTAAAGGCTTAACCTTTAAAACTTGATTCATTAATAACTTAAGAAAGGTACAACGAGCTGTAAACACAGAAATGTCATACAAACATCGTTCAAGTTAATATTCAACAATTAGCATACTTGACTACCATATCATTTTCTGGATAAAGGCCTAGTAGTTAAATTGTAACAAATTAATTGCTTTTTTTTTCAATCCCTATCCCAGCTTTATTAAAGGTGCCTTCAAACAAACCCAATATTTCACACACTTTGCAATGACTTAAGTCACTGCTAGCACTAGCAAGCTAGCTAAGACCACCCAAAGTAGAAAGAAGTTAACTTTGGAGTTACTGAGAATCCCTACCTGAGAGCACCTACCTCTCCAAAATCAAGCTACATTAGCAAGCTAGCCTGTAGCCTGTCTACTAGGCCTACACTAAAATGTTCTGAACTCTCAATCAAACTTCAACAAAAAGCCACTTCAGCAAAAAGTGTCTGTACTACTTCAGGTTAATCTGTGTATTGCTGCCTTTTATAGTTGGCATAATGGTGCAGTGGATAACACTGACCTCACCGGCTAGCATGACCGCTAGGCTAATTTGTGAGTCTTGCTTAAAGAGTATAGAATAGGCTTGAATGACTGCATGGCAAAAATGTGGCTATGACTGTGGCTTAGACTGTGAATACAACTTTATAAATGCAACTACAGTACATCATTGAATTTTGACTTGTGTTTTTTTATACATCAAGGCTGACAAAAAGGTGCAATATGAGATTTTCTTTTAGTTCCTGTTTGTTCAACAGACGTGGCTCTTGAACTATTATACCTTGGCATTTGGGGCTGTATTTATTGCCTAAAATGATTATGGATGGTGATAATTCCTTGAATATGTTAATACAAGTTAGACCTTTCACATTACACAGGCATTGAACCAGCGTGGTGATAAAAATATTCAACAGAGCAGCTTTAAAGTAGATATTTTGATTTGATGCCAGTTTCTATTTTTAACATTTCATAGTGTTGCGTTGTCAGTGGGAGACAGCCCGGCACGGAAAAGTCAACACTGCTAACGTCATAACAGGTTGACAGAAATCCAAGACAGATGTTTGAATCCCATGCACAGAGGATCTAAACGCTGAGGTTTGGAAGGGAATCCATAAGCGCTGTGTTTTTCCAACTTTACCCTGCCTCTGCTCCGCTCTGTAAAGTACTGCCTTTGCCTGAGTAGTGGCTGCACAGAGGGGGTTAGGAAAAAATGAAGCTTCAGACGGGTACTCTACATGGCATTTCATTAAAACTTAAGAACCTTGCACAAAAAAGGCTGCTAAATTATATGAAATGCTACAGATTGGCTCATTTACAGGATTTGTCCAGACATAAAGCGCCGTACTGAGGGGCTTCTTTCAAACATTTAGCAGTCCTGTATACATTCATAACTCCAAGTCTATAAAAGCATGAGTTCAGCATCTTGGCATTTTAACAGATCCATTATTGAGTCTTTAGAGGTTCATGTGACAGCAGCAAGATGCTGCTCGAATATATATTATATAATGCTATAAATAAGTAAGTATGCAGTACATGAAGGAACCTCAGCACAGAGCAACTTACTGTAAAATATATAGTAGTACAGTTTTTCCAACTGCTGATCACATTCCTCATTCTGG